GTCATTCTTACCCATTCAGTACAGATCCCATTTTATAACTCTTTCTGTGAACAAATAGTTTTGGCGTAATCACCCTTTAAAAGCATGGGGGAGAGTGGGTTCAGAAAATAAGGTTAGTTTGTCATTATTTTTCATATCAGCATATCTGTTTGTCTTAAGCAGAGATAAAGAAGAAAACTTTCAAAAGTTTTTCTATCAAAAGCTCTTTTTTTAAAAAAAAAAATCTTCAGAGTTCTATGCTAGTATTGTTTATCTAATCTATTCTCAAGCAAGCTTTTTTATATACAGGTTCAGGACTTATATGTGTGACTCATGCTCATGTTTACTGCTTGGTCTTTTTGTTATCTTCCTGCACCTCCAAATCATCTTTAGGCTTTTGTATCTCTGTCTGATAACAAAGTACCTTAGACAAAAATAGTAAGCAGTCTCTAGTTTCATATAGTTAAGCTTTGTCAATGTCTTTGTATTAATATATCAATCAATTCTCATGGTGTCTTTATTTTAAGATCAAGCTAGAGATAGTGTCTTGTTTTCCTCAGTGCTGTCCACAAAAGAAGCAATAAAACGAGATACATCAGTTTACTATTTCAGTCAATCCAATTGCCCAGTCCTGTGAGACAGGATTACAGCATGTCATTCCTGTTAAGTGATGCTCAAATAAGGGGAGTGACATGGGTTTTTAATATTAATGATAATATACAGGTTGGGTCTCCCTTATCTGAAATGCTTCAAACCAGAAGTGCTTTGGATTTTATATTTTTCAGATTTTAGAACATTTGCATATACATAATGCAATCTCTTGGAGATGGGATGAAATCCATTTATGTTTTGTGCTCACCTTATCAGTATAGCCTGAAGTTAATTTTATTTATAATACTGTTAAATAAATTTTGCATGAAACAAAGTTTGTGTATACTGAACCATCAGAAAGCAAAGATGTCACTATCTCAGTCACCTATGGAGGAACTTTGGATTTTGAGGTATTTTGGAATTCTGGATAAGGTATACTCAGTCTATAGTAACTATAAAGTTTACTGTTAAATTTTAAAAAACAGGGTAACAAAAATGGACAGACAGGATCTTTCACACAGTTTTCATCTATGTCATTCAGTTGACACAGTTTGCAACCTTTGGTGATATTCACTTTATAGAGTTACTGGCAGAGTTTCATCATGGTTACACAATGTGCTGCTTGCTGTGTACATGTGATCTGTCAGCCCATATATATTCATGTGCTGAAAATATAAAGAAAAAAGCAAAAAAAAAAGCACTTATTCATGAAAACAACATATCCTGACACTAAAAATATAATATCCCAATATGCACAAAGATGTTGCTTATAATGCAATATGCTTATAATGCACCATTACATTATATTGTACTATATACTGTAGTAGCAAAGATTATTGGTGTATTTTGATGTCCCAGTGTGAGTGGAATCAGAGTTTTCTTTCACTCACGTTAAAGACTTCAGTGGCTCCAAAAAAAAAAAAAAAAAAAAAAAAACCCTATTCCAGAGGGTTTTATAGCCCTTCAGAGATGTTTTTAGGGGATGGATGTTTTTAGAGAACCATGTGGTGTAGTGGTTTGAGCATTGGACTATGACTCTGGAAACCAGGGTTTGAATCCCAGCATGGCCACTGAGTAACCTCGGGCAACTCACAGTCTATCATCCTCAGAGGACGGCAATGGCAAACCCCCTCTGAAGAAACTCACCAAGAAAACCCCATGCTAGGTTCACCTTAAGGTCACCAGAAGTCATAAATGACTTGAAGGCACACAACAACAACAACCTGTAGAAAAGGGACATCAGTTATGGCATAGTAATAATTAATAATAATAATAATAATAATAATAATAATAATAATAAATTATTTTTATTCCACCCCTCTGCATAACGCAACCGGAGTGGCTTACAACATTAAAATATACATTTCGTATCCCACAATCCCACCCACCCCTTAAAATGCCATTAAACAATGATAATTTAAAACACACCTAAAATGCTAATACAAATAAACTAACTTCAGCAGAATCCGGGGAGCAAATTGGGCAAAGCAGAATAATCCAGAAAAAGTATGTGATAGGAATCTGGCAAGTATAATATGGGAACTATGAGAATATATTGGCTTTGAAGGAATTTAGCCTTTGATAGTAATATAGCCACATTTTCATTTATTCTTGCATTTTTAAAAAGTGGGTTGGCGGTTATAAGAGTTTTTACTGTTGCTGGTGAAAAAGCAGAAAAACTACAGCGTAATGCAGGGTAATTCCACTCCTGGGCAAAGTATCAAGACAAGCACTTGTGTTATACATATAATATAGTTCTGTGCTGTATGATGTGATGGCTATAAAATATAGGCATGTGGTGTAATTTGCCAAGATTTCTGTCATGTTCTAATGAAAGAAGGGAAATTATCAGGGTTTGTCAGAGATTTGGCTAAGTTGGTGGAGGAATGCTTGCATATGGAAGAGTACTTCCTTTATTTGGTTGTTTTTTCTATACTGAATCCTCATCTGCATAAATTCATTTCCTCTCAAAGTTGTCGTTGAAAAGCATTAACTATACTCAGATTGCTTAGACATGTCATCACCACTCCTGAAGCTATACTTTTGAAGCATGCAAAAGTTTAGCCAAGGAAATTTTGACCAATTGACACAGTCAGCAAAATTGTACAGTAAGTTTCTTGGGGTGAGAACAAATTCTTGAATTCTCATTCTCTTAGAAATTACATAGGTCAGTTCCAATAGTATAGTTCTGAAGACACAAGGAATAAAACATACCTTATTTTCCTGCGTATAAGACTACTTTTTAACCTGCAAAATCTGTGGTTAAAGTGGGGGGGGGGTCGTCTTATACGCCGGGAATAAGGATAAGGAGAATAGAGGTGCTAAAACTCTATATTTTGACTGGAAAAATGGGGGGTCGTCTTATACGCCGGGTCGTCTTATACATTGGAAAATACGGTAACTTGGAAAAAGCTATCATTATAAAAGTAGTGAACACAAAGTGAAGCATGCTATTATGCATATAGATATCAGAAATTCTCTGATGGTATGTGTAAGCAGTGTGATGACTACCACATAATGTACAAATAAATGAGATGTGGGTGTTTGTGATCACTCAGGCAGTGGTAGACTGTGATTCTACATTTGACTGTTTGTGTGAACTTCTTGGTAGAAAATTAGGGGTTGAACTTAAAAATGGCTCCTTGCATAACATATTCAAGTATATTGCAGTTGCATCCTGTTGCTCAGTTGTGTTTTGATAATATGAAAAAAAGAATTTTCTAAATGTAGGGTATGATTTAAGCAACAGACAATACAATGCATACTTAATGCACTCACAGTTACTCATTCCTTTTAAAAAGCCATCAAAGTTTGAGTAGAACACAGTATAATTTTCACAGCAGATCTTATGCACAAGTTAATTTTGAAGTATAATTTCTTTCCCTTTCTCTTAATGTTTTTGTTCAGAAGTTATTTAACATTAATGCTCTTCGTGTTTAGGAAGCCATTTTTTCCTGTCTTATCTCTGATTTAATATCAGTAGGACTGTATTTTGCATTTTTACTTATTTATTCAGGTTATTTTCAGAGCTTCTTTACTTTTAAAAAAGTTTCTGGCATTACACTTAATTAGTTTGTCACTTGTGAAAAACAGCTTCGCTGACAATTAAATGTACACAACACTATATTACAAAGAAATTGAGATCCTCCACATGAAAAATCCATTATTCATCAGTTTTTGAATATAGTGATAAAAAGTATAACACAATAGGAACATTGCTTTTTGAAGAGGAGTAAATTGCTTGTGAGTTCAAAGCCTGGTTTTTGAAGTCAAGCTACTAAATGTGATTCTTATGTGTTATTGCTTTGATGTACTTGGATAGTTTACTTTAAGATTTAGTGTTGGGGAGAGAAAATACAGTATGTTTTTTGTAATAGGCATGCATTATTTTCATTCTATAACTGCTCACATTATCACAAAAAACCCTCAGCTGAACTATTGATTAATATGAAGATGCAGTCTTTGGCAAAATTGGGCTGTATCCTGTGTTATGTGAGTGGGAAAAAAGTACAGAGGAGGTGTTCTGCTCATAGAACAACTAACTGAAGCAACACCTAACTGAAATGCTTGTTGAAGTAGAATCAAATGGTTGGATTTAGGCAAGGATGGAAATGGGACGTCAGCAGCTGTTAGAGCCTTGTACCTGCACAATGATACTTTTGGATACAACCCTGTGAGTGCACTATGTTTTGTTAGAGCTATTTCAAATAGAAGGAAATTCAGCAGAATAAACGCTAAAATGGTTTCAAATTTGTGCTGACCAAAATCATCCTATGTAAGTGAGAAGATTCCACAAATATAAATATGAGAGTTACACAGTCCTTATTTTACTGGTTCACAGTTTACTTGCATCTTAATCAATCTGTCATTTATTATAAAAATTTCCATGAAAGACACATAAGACAGGTATGTTTCACTTTATGGAAATCTAGTTTGTCACTTATGGGTTTCTTGTTTTATTTTGGATTTGAGCAAATTTTGTACAGTTGAAAATTTTCAGTGTGCCCTGTAAAACACTTCTTAGTATAATGTGTTTAAATAGGCTTTAGAATGCTCAAAATGAATGTCCCTACTTTATAACTAATAATACTATTGCCAGCTATTTGGATTATATCCAGCAGCATAATTGTGCTAACATACTGAATTCTCTCTCATGGAAAGTGTTTCTGCCCAGACATCAAGAATTTGTCTTCCTTCTCAGTCCTCTCTGTAGGAGATCAAAGGGGGAGGGGGGGTACTCTTAACCCTTTGTGTAGCAAGTGAGGGACTTTGAAGGCTTTAAAGGGCATGAGGGAGCAGGGTATTTCAGCCACTAACATGTCATTGAATGGAATCTTTTTGGATTTATTCTTAAAGCTCTTATTTGTTTCATGTCAACAGGTACCAGGTGGAAGATGAATCGTCTCATCTGGATGAAATGCCATTAATGATGTCAGAGGAAGGCTTTGAAAATGATGAAAGTGATTATCACACTTTACCAAGAGCCAGAATTTCTCAGAGAAAAAGAGGTTTAGAATGGTTTATATGCGGTGGCTGGAAATTTCTTTGTACCAGGTTTGTTTTGGTTTTGTTGTTTTGTTGTTTTACATGATTGATTTTGCTGTTGAGGTTACATAAATACAACATATGTTACAGACACCCATCAGTTTAAAACAAATTTGTTATAGTGTTACAGAAAACAACGTGTGTGTGTGTGTGTGTGTGTGTGTGTGTGAAATCCAGGTAGTGGCCAGCCCTATGAAATCCATAGTAGAACAATGTACTTTAAATAGCTTTTCCTTCTGTCCATTACCTTGCACAGTCAACATCAGCACCTGGCATCGTGATCAGTTGCCAGGGCCATTGTACCCTATTCATTGCTAATATCTGTCCTGTTTCATAAATTCTGTGTGTGTGTGTGTGTCCCACCGAGCTTTGCACTTCACACAGTGCCAGACAGCTAGATCCACACAGCTCTTAATCCACCATCATTCTGTGGGGCATTGTTGAAGAGAGCAAGACTGGCTAAGACCCATGCTTTCATGCTGCTTGAACTGCCACTGCAGCCAGCTATGTATGTTAACAGCTCAATTGAGAGGGAAGGATCCACTGCAGATACATTGTCTAGGGCATTGTTAGACAAGTATTGACTATTTGTTCATGGGAGGAGATTAAAAAATAGAGAATACCGTTTGCCTTCATTATTTGCTTTGCCATGCTACCACCATCATCTTGCATTCCCAAATTCTGTCTTCCAGTGAGCACTTTGAGCCCTCATTTCATCCCCCCAAAAATCATTCGAGGGAAGAGGGATTTGGACTCACTATACCTGGAGGTTATTACTTCCTAAAGCTATTTCTTATTAATGCCTCCTTTCAGTCACTTCAATGGGAGAGGAGGGATCTGTCTCCTTGAAGCCTCATTATAATTGTGTTGACTTGGTGGCAGTACAGCAAGGTGTGTGCTGTTACTGAGCCTGTTTTTCTCAGTTTCCTCTGAGTTACCTTTTGTGCAGAAAGGGCAGGTGACTTTCCCTTGTTTATGAGGAAAAGGGAGATTTGGAGTGTGCTATCTCTGAGATCTAGCCTTTGGAGGAGATGGAAGACTTATACCTTCCAATTTGCAGGGATCTGTTCCAGACTCCCCTGTGAAAATGACGGCTCGCAAATATTCAAGCCCCATTAAAAATAATGATGCATGCCACCATTATATCGCTCCCCTCTTGTCCCTCCCACGAAGAGCGGGAGCATGGACTTGAAGCCCGCGAATGGGGGGTGACAACTGTATTTCCTTTTTCTCCTGAGCTCACTGCTGAGGGGAGTGATTTGTGCGGTTTTGCATTTGTCAGCCAGTGCAACCTCCTTGGGACTGTCAGGCATGTTGGTTGGCATCTAAAGAAAGTGCATATTGCCAGATCTTGTGTTACAGAAAGAATTCTTTTGGTCCACCAATATTTTCTTGCAAGATAGGAGTAATTACCCTCCTTTCCTGTTAAAGATAATGTCATTATATGTATTTTTAAATCCAGCCCATTATGTTCATGAATCGATAAGCTAATTTTTATGTATATGAAAAAAATTAGACAGAACTT